TGAACCACACCATTGTGGAAAGAACAAGGTGTTTGCTTTCACAAGCTAAATTACCAAGATCCTTTTGGGGTGAGGCAATGAAAACAGCGGTTGACGTAATCAATTTGTCTCTTTCCTATCCTTTGAATGGTGATGTTCCAGAAAAAGTTTGGACCGGTAAAGATGTATCTTATGAGCACTTGAGAGTGTTTGGTTGCCGAGCTTTTGTTCACATTCCAAAAGATGAGAGGTCCAAGCTTGATAGCAAGTCAAGACAATATATTTTTCTTGGCTATGGGTGTGATGAGTTTGGTTATAGATTGTGGGATCCGGTCGACAAGAAAGTTATTCGAAGCCGTGATGTTGTGTTTCTTGAAGACCAAACAATTGAAGACTTTGACAAAAGTGATCAACCGGAGCCAAAAACTAGTGATCTCATTGACATAGATCCATTTCCTTCATCTTCAGTTGATGATAAAAATGGGGGAGATGTGCAGCCATCTATTGAAGATGTAAAGGATGATGCTAATCCTAATGAAGTTGAGACAGAAATTGAGGAAGAGCATCCAACTCAAGAACCGCCACCACAACTTGAGTTAAGAAAATCTACAAGGGACCGACAACCTTCAAGAAAGTATCCTCCCAATGAATTTGTGTTGATTTCCGATCAAGGGGAGCTCGAGAGCTACCAAGAAGCAATTGAGCATGCAAAGAAAGATGATTGGAAAAAGGCCATGGAAAAGGAGATGAACTCCTTACTTGAAAATCACACCTATGATTTAGTGAAGTTGCCTAAAGGGAAGAAAATTCTGAAAAATAAGTGGGTTTTTAAATTGAAGAATGATGACAAGAATCTGAGGTACAAGACACGTCTTGTTGTGAAAAGCTTTGGGCAAAAGAAAGGTATTGACTTTGACGAGATTTTCTCACTGGTTGTAAAGATGTCTTCTATTCGGGTTGTACTTGGCATGGCTGCAAGTATGAACCTTGAAGTTGAGCAACTTGATGTGAAGACCGCATTTCTTCATGGTGATCTTGAAAAAGAAATTTACATGGAGCAACCAGAAGGTTTTGTGGAGAAAGGTAAAGAGAAATTTGTTTGCAAATTGAAGAAAAGTTTGTATGGTCTCAAGCAAGTCCCGCGGCAATGGTACAAAAAAATTTGACTTTTTCATGATGAATAATAGTTTTTCTAAAACCATTTCGGACCATTGTGTGCCTGTGAAATTTTTTTCGGATGGCAAATTTATTATTCTTTTGCTTTATGTTGATGACATGTTAATTGTGGGTCAAGATTTTACCATGATAAGCAGGTTGAAATTGGAGTTGCGCAAGTCTTTTGCTATGAAAGATTTGGGACCGGCAAAGCAAATACTTGGTATGAAAATTGTTCGTGATCGCAAAGAGGGGCTGATTCGGTTGTCTCAAGAAAGCTATATTGAGAAAGTTCTTGAGAGGTTCAACATGAATAAAGCAAAGCCGGTTGGTTGTCCACTTGCAGGTCACTTCAAGCTTAGTTCGAATCAATGTCCTACAAGTGAGAAAGATAAGGAAGAGATGTTGAAAGTTCCTTATGCTTCAGCAGTTGGTTCTTTGATGTATGCTATGGTTTGTACTAGGCCGAATATTGCTCACGCCGTTGGTGTGGTGAGTCGGTTTCTCTTTAATCCAGGTAAAGAACATTGGGCAGCGGTAAAATGGATTCTAAGGTATCTTCGAGGGACTTCGAAAGTATGTTTGTGCTTTGGGGATGGTAAGCCGATGCTTGATGGGTTCACAGATTCTGACATGGCCGGTGATATTGATTCTAGAAAATCTACTTCAGGGTATTTGATGACTTTTGCAGGGGGAGCTGTGGCATAGCAATCTAAATTACAAAAATGTGTTGCTCTCTCAACTACCAAAGTGAATTTATTGCCATTACGGAAGCTTGCAAATAAGAGTTATGGTTGAAGAATTTTTGCAAGAGTTGGGTTTGAAGAAAGAAAAGTATGTGCTTTATTGTGATAGTCAAAATGCTATTCACTTGAGTAAAAATTTTACTTTTCATTCGAGATTGAAACACATTGATGTGAGATACCACTGGATTCGTGATGTGTTAGATTCGAAATTGTTACAACTCGAAAAGGTTCACATAGATAATAATATTTCGGATATGTTGACTAAGACTTTGTCGAGAGACAAACATTTAAAGTGTCGAACTTTGGCGGATATGGTTGATCTCTCCACCTAAGTCGGTAGGAGGAGAATTGTTGGGTATACCTCCTTATTGGAGTTTGAAACCTAATTGGTTTATTAAAAGAGTTTAATTTGATTTAGTTTAGGTATAATATATTTTAATATATTATATCTAATTTTTAGAGATCTAATTTAATTTGGTAACAATTAGGATTTGATTTCAAAACCCAAGATTCAATATATATATATATTGTTTTGTGTGTTCCGAAGTGAAGCCGAAACAGTGAATTAATATTGATATTGATTGAATCAATTCGGTGGAGTCAAACTTGGGTGAGTGAGAAGTGCTACTTTTCTGCTCCTGTGTGTGGAAGTTTGTTGCTTCGGTTTTTTGATCTTGTGAAGCATTGTGCGTGTGCATTTTGATTGCTTTGGTGAAGTTGATTTGGTTCGTTATTTTGGATCTTCTTCAACTCTGGTTTTGAAGATTTTGGTTCATCTATTTGGTGAGGTCTTTCCTCTTGTTTATTTGTGATTATTTGGAATTCACCTAAGAGTGGTTTGTGAGACCATTCGTGTCTCGTTTGTAATCGTTTGGAAACTCTTTGGTTGATAGTGGAATCGGATTTCGATCCCGTAGACGTATCTTACATTGAGGGAACCACGTAAAATTCTTGTGTTGCTTTTGATTTAATTTTTTCACATTAGTTTTTATTCCCATTGATTGATTTACTTGTGGGAAACCACATATTTTCCCTAACAGGGACGAGGACTAGAGGTGTAGGTCCAGACATGCAGGTTCAGGACTAGAGGACCAAATTCAGAGGTCTAAGACCAGAGAACTAGATTCAGAGGTCCAGGACCAGAGAAGACCAGAGGTCCAGGTACAAACATGCAGGTTCAGGATTAGAGGACCAAATCCAAAGGTCCAAGACCAGAGATGAATAGGAGACCAGGACCAGAGGTCCACATCCAGACATACGAATCTAGGACCAGAGGACCAAGTCTAGAGGTCCAAGGGACCATGCCTAGAAAGCTAGGTCCAGAATGCGTAGCCCTAAGGGGCAGACTTGGGCAAAGCTTGGTCCTTACTTTATGGGCCAACTACTCTTAGAAATCTGCACTAGTAGAACATGATCCAACAAAAAGTTAGCTGAACGTGAGGAGTGGCAAGGAAAGTGGAACCAAGTCCAACAGTCACTTTAAAGGCTATATACACCAAGTGAAGAAAAAAAAAAAAAAAAAAAAAAAAAAAAAAAAAGGAGAGAGAATAACATTGAGTAAAAATTTATTGATAGTTGGATTCGTTAATATTAAAAAAAAGGAAAAAAGAAGAAGAATATTGAGTAAAAAAATTTTTATAGTTGGATTTTTTAATATTTAAAAAATATATGTAAAAAAAAAAGAACAACATTGACTAAAAATTTATTTATTCTTTAGTTGGTATAAGCCTAAATTTGATAATAATGCAAAGGGTATTTGTGAAATTTTACATGATTAATCCCATTCCTATCTCTCAAAACAAACTAAACTATTACTAGTCCACTGGTTATCAAACAAATATAATTTTTTTTAATCCCCTTACTAGCAATCCCTTCACTAGCCGTCCCCTCACTAATAATCCCCTCCATTCTACCTCTGAAAACAAACGCACCCTAAGATCATCTTCAATAGTTTATCAATTATGCCATCAAATTTAAATTTGATGAAAAAATACATCTTTTCCTATTCTAATAATTTCATCAAATAAGTATCAAATTGAAAATATTAAAAATCTTTCACCAAATTGAGGACGCTGGGAGCTTTCATCAAATCACTACTTATAATCGTTAAATTTTCATCACCAAATGTTCTTTCGGATGACCATCTCTAAGCAAAAATTTGTAATAAAAATATATTGGCCGGTCGACCAGCCGAACATTCTCCTGGTTGACTGATGTTATGATAAAAACTCAAAATCTTTTGTTAGAATACTTGATATCGAATGAAATTTTTACTTAATAAAAAGAAAATGAAAAAGATGCACAAATAGAGGTACTCTAACTCAATAGATTGATGATATTCCCCAACTAATAAGAGCACTAGCTATGGACTGAGCCGAGTCTAAGGTTTGGTTTAGCTAGGGCTTTTTGGATTAAAAAAAGTATGAAAGATAAAATAAGTTAAATAGTATAAAATGTCACAAAAGTTAAAAAATTAATTCAAATGATTTTTTTAATTCCAAGTTAAAAAAGTCCTAACTCAAAAAAATTAGCCCGGGTTTAGCTATTATTTTGGGGCTAAAAAAGCACAAAATAACAAAATAAGCTAAATAAGTTAATAAGACAAAATATCACATTCAACCCATAATTATTACATTTTTTCTCTCACAAAAGTCAAAAAAACTAAAATATTAAAACCAAATGTGGCTAAAAAAGTTCAAACACAAAAAATTTGGTTATATTAGCCAATGTCAAACGAAACTTTAATTAAATTTTTTTTTGCTAAACGACAACTAAGGCTTTGTTTGTCATGTTTAGGTCACAATCATCATATTTGAATCACATCATCTCTTTATCACATCAATTCAAATCCAATTCATATTTTATATTTTTTCATAAAAAATTAAAAAGTATACTAATATAGCATTTCTCCAATAACCCTTACCTATCCCAGATTTCATTGGCATTAGGGTTGCAAATGAACCGAGTTGTTCATGAACAAGCTCGGCTCTGCTGGTTAAGGGCTCGGTTCGGCTCGATTCATTTAGTAAATGAGCCGAGCTCGAGCTCACTTAAGCTCGGCTCGTCAAGTTTGGCTCGTTTATCTTTATTTAAATTATATATTAAATAATATAAATAATATTAAAAAAAATTATCAAGGGGAGTGGATTCGGGAAATTGATTCTTGAACACTCGGCCAGGAAGCCCAAAGTGTTCTTCTGAACTCTCCCCATCTAAATCCACGACAAATTTATTATATTTAGATATCATCCTATACTGACAAAGTCCCAAAACATCAAGTGGATCCGGAACTAAGAATTTAACAACGTTATAAACATAAGCCGATACTAGAGCGAAAGGTTGGTTTTGAGTTGTAAGAAAAGACTGCCTCTCTTCTGTTATGGGTGCCCAAAATTGAACCAGTATCGCATAATCAAGCCAATGCTGTAAAATGCTGTAAAGCACATCTCTGATCTTCTTTTTCAACTCCAAATTAATATCTGATAAATAACAAACGAATTCCAGAAGGGAAAACTGATTTCAAAACCACAGAATTTGTATTGACTTAAAAAATTAATGCATCAATAACAAAATATATTCAGAGGTGAAAAATAAATAAATGGAGGAGGAGATAAAAAAGATAGAAGTCGCTCACCGGCAGGAACAGTCGGCCGAGGACGTAGGGGTATGTCGTCTCCTCGGCTCCAGAAAACCCCTCCAACGACTTTGTCAACGCACTTCAATGGCAACCAGTTGAGTTCAGTGTCCACATATTCCTTGAAATCGTGAGGGAGATCTTCTCTCTCCATCCCTATTAAGTTATACACGGACGCACGGTGAACTCCAATTTTACGGTAAACCAATATAAAATTGCCACGTAACCAAATAATTGTTTTCCTATCCCTTCCCCTCATGTTCGGTACCGCAAAACTCAAAACCAGTCAAATTCTTCTTCCGCCATTCACCAAGACCACAAGGCAACATTGCAATTTCGTCTCTTTCAACTGTGTAAAAATCGAAACAGCCTCTCAAACCCTAAATTTAATCTTGGTAGCAGGATGAGAGAGATGGGTTTTACTGAGGAAAGGGTTGGAGAAGAGGAGGGGAGCTGTTAGAAGAGGTGGTGGGTTCCATAGTTGAGTTGAGATGAGGAGGAAGAGAAGGTAAGTGAGAGAAATAGGGCAAAGAGCCAACAAAGGAATTTTCTAGGATGTCACTGAATGAATTATCTCATGGGGCACTGTCTTATTTGCTGACCGTAGGTTCGCTTGGTCTTAGTTAGTTTTGGTTTTTAAAAAATATTTTTAAATAAATTTTACTTTTTTGTTTTTTATATATATTTTTTTGTTTTCACAGAATTTTTTTAATATTTTAAGTAATTTTTAAAATTTTTAGATACACCTAATATAAATACATTTAGAGAGTATAATATTTGTGAATTTTTTTAAAAAAATTTACTAAATACCAAAAATATAAAAAAAATGAGAATTCAATATATTTTTCGTATTTTTGTTTATTTATTAATTTTTGAAAATAATTTTTCATAAATATTTTACTATTTAAATATATTTAAATAAAGTGTATCTAAAAAATAAAAAAAAATTACTTAAAATTAAAAAAATATTCACTAAAAAAATACTAAAGACAAAAAAAATTCAATTATCAAAAAAACTAATTTAGAAAACTCAAACCATCCTCACTTGTCTCAGTCAGCGTCTCAGTCAAAATCCGCCTCACTCTCAACTATGCATGTTTTCAGATACACGCACACAAAACAGAATCCCAAATCTCAGAGAGCCTATGCTAGAAAATTTAACAATGAAGATTGTAAGAGGAGCTGATTTGAACCCACTAAATTAATTAGGCCCAGTAGTCCAAAGTTGGTGAGCCTGAATTTATCGCAAGTCCAAGATTGGTGGGCTCGGATTTATCGCCATCAAACAGGTTGAATCGCTCTAAGTCTCGGAAGGGTTTGGATCCACGAACTTAGAGACTTACTTCGGCCCGGACTCGAAAGGGTATTGAGCAAGCCTAGAGATCCGAGGCACTCGGACTCGAAAGGGTTCGGATCCACGAACCTAGAGATCCGAAGCACTTGACTTCGAACGGATTCAGATGCAATCTAGAAGTCGCTCCGTTAATGAGTCCCAGAACACTTGCGGGCTCGGAGCTTTCCGGGATCTACACACCAGAACCATGTGCGTAATGGAGTTCGAACAAAGGACTCGATCCCGAGAACGGTGAGTGGAGATAAATTCACTCTTCGGTTAAACTAACCTATACCCAGGTCGAGGTGGCATGATCTAGGGGGTCCCTGAGACTCGGCAATATTTGCGGCGTGGCGTTCTCTTGAACTACCCCTGACCCTTATGCGGCAAGACGTCCTCTAGGACTACCCCTGACCCTTTGGGATGATTGGGGATTATTGGTTAGGTGTGGCTAAGAAGAAGGTTTCGCCGAGAGGTTGATCTCCTCTTCGGGGTTTTCCTTATCCTCGGAGAAGTCACCTCCTCGGACAAGGTGGTTAGAGAGAATATTCTCCATGTGCTTTGCACATGGGCTCCATCCTATATCATGAGGTGTCTATAAATAACACCCGTCCATAGCTTTATAAGGTATCATAAGGTGCTTTGCAAGGCTCACCCAATCTCTAATCTCCATCATCTCCTTTACTCTTGTGTTCCTAAGTTGAGACCATTGAAGAATCTAAGCCTCTCATTATCTTCTAGAGAATTCGAAGTTGTTCTTCAAGGATCTTCGAAGATCTTCAAATTTTCCAACAACGTTCTTGAACCCCTCTCATACATTTGGCGACTCCACTGGGGAGGCGGATTGGTTAATGGTTTCAACGAGATCTGGAACTCATACAACACCGGCAAAAATGGCAGATAATGAGACTCATCAACAAGGCTCTTCCAATGGTGGTCATGAAAGGACTCAAGTTCAAGACTCACCTCTCATCCTTGAAGCCATTCAAGGACTCCAACACACTCAACAAAAGATTCTCACGACCTTTCAAAATCTCACCCACACCATGTTGGTGATGAGTTTGAATTTCGTACCACAAACAACAAATGGAGGTCAAATTGCCGCCAACAAGCATCAACAACTTCATGGTAATGTTGGGAATGGTCAAAACCATCAAGATCCACTCCAAATTCTCCCTAAAGATGTACAAAATGGTGTGCAAAATCAAGTGCTAGAAGGAACAAGTCATGGCCAACTTGCGGCCCATGGAGCGCAAAATCACGCACCTGGAGGATTGAGCCATGGTCCAGCAGTGGTTGGAGGAGTTTCCAGCATGATGAATGGTGTTCCAGCGGCTGTGGAAGTTTAAGGAAGGCCCACAAAAATTCCTCTACAAAATGGTGCTCCATCCATGACTAATTTTGTTCCACCGATTGTAAATTCTACTCCTGTACCAAGTGGGTCTCCTTTGGCTCCGACGCCAAGTTTGCAAGTCCAACCCAGTATAGCCATGGCGTGCAATGAACTGTATGGGACTCAATGCAACGTCCCATCACCAAATTTCATGTCCATAGGTGCCGATGGTCAATATTGTCATGTGTCTTCACTGATGATAAATTCTCAACACCCAAATGGCCAAGTCACTCCAAGTTCAGTTTTCGGGTCTACAAGCCAAGTTCTGGGAATACCACCATCAAGTTCCCTCCCTCAACAATTTCTCACTATCGCCGATGTGCAAGCCATGTTCGATCTCGAACGGGGCAAGAGGACTTTACCCTCTTTGCTTGATCCGGATGTCAAGCCGCCTTACCCTATCGAGATGTTGAGTTATCCATACTCGGAGGGGTACACGATGTCGAAGTTCATCAAATTCGATGGCAAACAAGGAAATGCTCGAGAACATGTTGTGCGGTTCATCGTGACTCTAGGTATTCATGGTTCAAACCACGTCCTCCGGCTGAGAGAATTCTCCAAGTCCCTCACCGACCGAGCATATAGTTGGTACGTTAACTTGACCCCAAACTCTGTTCGGAGTTAGGAGGAGATGGTCAACAAATTCCACACCAAATTCTTTCAAGCGGCTGAGAAGATAACCGCACTTACCCTATGTAAGGAAAAGCAATGGGAAGGCGAAGACATTCTCGAATATGTGATGAGGTTTCAAGACAAAGCCGTAGACTATCATGAGGCTGTGGAGGAAAGCTACTTCGTCCAAATCTGTGTTAAAGGGGCATTGAACGGATACAAGATGTTTCTTGTTAATCACAAGCTACCTACCTTCTCGGCATTAATTGAAGCATCTCGGAACATCAACATACCTCAATCTCAGGAGATCGGGTTCGAGACTAGTTATAAAGCTAGCTTCAAATCATCCCGAGGACCTTCTGTCATTGCGGCTTTCGCGTTTTCTACAGGAAAGTCGCAGGGGGAGGAATTCAGAGGTCAGAAGAGGAAAAAACTATGAAGATGACACTCTTTTTTCGTGTAATGTCGAGGAGGTGAAGGCCTTAGTTAAAGAATGGGTGGCGGACGGGGAACTGAAGTTGCCTCATGTCGAAGAGCTTTTGCCGAAGAAGGACCGCGAGGGTCCTAATTATTGTATTTTCCACCGATCACTAGGACATCCTACAGAAAAGTGCCGGATGCTTAAGAAGATCTTTAGAAAGAAAGTCGAAGCACATGAGATAGAGTTCAGAGAACAAGGGTCCCAGGATATCTTAGAAGACGTGGCTATATTGGTGTATGACGGCCACAGCCCGAGCAGCTGGTGAAAGCTTTCCAAATGACCTTGCAACTCTAGGGGCAATGTCAACATTCTGTAGAAGAAGTCTATCTATGACATTTACAATTTGTATTTCCTGCATTGTCCAAGAATTTTCTATTTTTCTTTTTTATGTTATGAAGAAAGTCATTTCCTCCATATTGTGTATCTCCATTAGAAGTTATTTTCTTTGTATTGTATATCTTCATTGTGCTACGTTGCTTGAAACAGTTTGTAATTTTTATTGCCCCTCGAAGAAGAAAAAGGAATAGTAGACTCGGTTACCAACCTGAAGGGACTTTTCTTGACGCAGTAAAAGTGTACTCCCACTTAGAGAGGGACAACCTTTGCTTTCATTAGTTGCCAAAATAGTGTGTGCTCCCACTCGGACCTCCAAAGAGCAGCCATTGCTTCCTTCAATGCAAGCTTCGAGGGTCTTTCTTGCTAAAGTAGAGTGTTACATCCGCTCAGACCTTCGAAGAACAGTCATTGCTTCCATCAATGCAAGCTTTGAGGGTCTTTCTTGCTGAAGTAGAGTGTGTGCTCCCACTCGGACTTCCGAAGAATAGCCCTTACTTCCATCAATGCAAGCTTCGAGGGTCTTTCTTGTTGAAGCAGGGTGTGTGTTCCCACTCGGACTTCCGAAGAATAGCCCTTGCTTCCATCAGCCATTGCTTCCTTCAATGCAAGCTTCGAGGGTCTTTCTTGCTAAAGTAGAGTGTTGCACCCACTCGGACCTCTGAGGCACAGTCATTGCTTCCATCAATGCAAGCTTTGAGGGTCTTTCTTACTGAAGTAGAGTGTGTGCTCCCACTCGGACTTCCGAAGAATAGCCCTTACTTCCATCAATGCAAGCTTCGAGGGTCTTTCTTATTGAAGCAGAGTGTGTGTTCCCATTTGGACTTTAGAAGAATAGCCCTTGCTTCCATCAGCCATTGCTTCCTTTAATGCAAGCTTCGAGGGTCTTTCCTGCTAAAGTAGAGTGTTACACCCACTCGGACCTCCGAAGAACAGTCATTGCTTCCATCAATGCAAGCTTTAAGGGTCTTTCTTGCTGAAGTAGAGTGTGTGCTCCCACTCGGACTTCCGAAGAATAGCCCTTACTTCCATCAATGCAAGCTTCGAGGGTCTTTCTTGTTGGAGCAAAGTGTGTGTTCCCATTCGGACTTCCGAAGAATAGCCCTTGCTTCCATCAATGCGAGCTTCAAGGAATAGCATTTGCTTCCATTGATTGCTGAAGAAATGGGTGTACATCAACTTGGATTTTCGAGGAACAACTTTGTCTCCGCTCGGATTTCTAGGGAACAATATTTACTTCCGTTAGTACAAGCTTGATAAATTCGGTTGCCAGCCATTAGGGATCTTTCTTGCGGTTACCAGTTAGAAGGGATTTTTTTTGCCAAAGAAAAGAGTGTGCTTCCACCCGGACTTCTGAGGAACAACCCTTGCTTCCATTTGGACTTCCAAGGAACAAACCTCGTTTCCATCAGTGCGAGCTTCGATGATCTCTCTTGTTGAGGTAGAGTGTGTGCTCCCACTCAGACTTTTGAAGAACAGACCTCGCTTCCATTAGTGCGAGCCTCAAGGATCTTTCTTGCTGAAGTAGAGTGTGTTCTCCCACTCAGACTTTTGAAGAGCAGCCTTCAAGACTCGGAGAAAGGATCTTCTTGCCAAAGTAGGGTGTGTGCTACTATTCAAACTCCTGAGGGACAGCCTTGCTTCCGTTTGGACTTTCGAGGGACAACTCTTGCTCTCATTAGTGCGGGTCCAAAAAACAGCCCTTTCTTTCATCAATACGAGCTCCGAGGATCTTTCTTTTCAAAGTAGAGTGGACTCATACTCGAACTCCCAAGGGATAGCCTTTGCTTCCATTAACTGCCGAAGTAGAAGTGTGCATCCACTCGGACTTCCAAGGGACAGCCTTGTTTCCGCTCGGACTTCTGAAAGAGAGCCTTGTTTCCGCTCGAACTTCTGAGGGACAGCCTTGCTTCTGCTCGGACTTCTGAGAGACAATCTTTACTTCTATTGGTGCAAGCTTGGTAGACTCGGTTGCCTTTCAAAGGAATCTTTCTTGCCAAAGTAGGGAGTATGCTACTTTCGGTCTCCTAAGGGACAGTTTTGCTCTTGCTCAGACTTCCGAAGGATAGCCCTTGCTCTCATTAGTGAAGATTCTGAGGGCCTCGGGGTCATGGATTTCGCACAAAATATTATTTGCTTGAAATAGTAAAACCGACAAATGAGATGAGCAATATCAATTTCATATCCTGATTCAGGCATTATCGGAATGGGGCAACAAGAACAAATAATAATGATCTATTTAAGCTACAACAATTTTATTCCTCTGAACGAGTTCATGAAAAATGCAACAATCAAGATTTTGTCTCTTCGGGCCGGCTCTTCTCAAGCAGATATAAAGCTATAATGTTCAAACAACAACAACATTCAACATCAGTGATTCAATTTGTTCAAGATTCTCAACTCTGATTTTTGCTCTTTAAAGTGTATAAATGACAAGCTCATAGGTTCAAGATTCAACATATTATCATACAATTTGCAAGAATATATCTTCCAAGTTAAGATTCACAGCTCAAGATTTCTTACAAAAATAAAATTCAGCAAGAGTGGTGGTTATCTCAAGATCAGGAGATCAAATTTCAACCCAAAAACTCATATATATTTAAGCAAAGCCCACAACACATATCAAATTCAGCATCAATGGTTTTTTTTACAAGAGGTTCTGAAGTGGGTTTACACAGAAAAAAGCTTGCACCAAGTTTTAAATATATTTTTATATATATACTTACCCACAGATTTGAGGAAGCAGATTTAAGGCAACAATGATCAAGAAAGAGATGAATAATAATGCAAACTGAAGCTGAACAATGCTAGGGAGGACCACACACGGCGTTGAGTGGGCAAACGTGTGTGGTCGGCATTGGACGAGCGAGGCCGGAACCAGCGGTAATGTCGCGGCGGAGTTGGTGACCACACACGACATGTTGGAAGGGTGAGGTGTGTGGTTGGCACTGGAACAACTAGGCAGACCGACACCACGTTGAATCGGTGGTATGGTCGGCGTTGGCGGGTCACGGCTAACAGTGATGGATTTCAGTGGGCGAGAAAGTTTATCGACAGACCGACGCCACGTTGAGTGGGCAGCGTGGTCGTCACTGGTCAGTTGCAGTTGGGCACGAGACGGACGAGCCGCGTGAGTTGAGGTGGTCACGCACAGAGTAGCGCCGTGGTGGGTTCGCGCAGAAGCTGACGGTGGCGCTCGGAGGGTTGAGACAACGGGCGATACACAAGCAAAGGTGGACTTCAATAACTGTGGGAACGAAACCAAGATCCGGCGTGTCTGAATGTCTGAGCCCACTAGGCTGAAGTGAAACACCGATGGTGAGCAGCAGCTTGAATCGCACGTCTACGGCAATCGCGAAGCTGAAACAAAACAGTGGCTGGGCCGCGACACTGGGACGGGCCGACGGTGTTGCTTGAAGCCGTGATGAAGGTCAGTGCGCAAGTGGAGCCATTTGGTTTGTTGAAGAAGGAGAGCACGGCGGTGGCCTCTGGCAGTGTATAAACAAAACCTTCTTGGAGAAGAAGAAAGCCTGGGTTGGTCTCTGTTTTAGAGAGAGAGACGGCTGAGAATAAGGTTTTTCAAAAAGATTAGATGGTCTTGGCGGCTGTAGGCAAAAAGAAAGGAAATGTATTGATTAGGGTTCTTGTCTTTTCCTTTAAATAGGCAAAAAGAAAAGCATATTCCCTTAAATATACCCTCAAATATTCCATATATATATATATATATAATGAGCCTGCCGTTTTTTTTCCAAGCAAAAAAGGAGTGTTTGGATCTTTTTTTTTTTAAGAATAAAATATGGGTGCTTTATTGTTATTTGACTTGGAATAAAAAAAGTGGACCTTAGATATTCTATACGGAAAAGAAGATTTGGACTCATGTTTGCTGATTTATATGGAATTGAAGAATTTAAGTTTGCCTTTCGAAAAAAAAAGAAAAAAGAAAAGCTTAAAAAAAATTAAAAAAAAAAGAGAAAAAGTTATTTATTTATTTAATATTACTTGTCGATTTTATTCGTAATTTACGGTGAGTCCTCAGCTTTATCCATAGATTCTATCAAGACCAAATATTTCCGGAGACGTAATGCGAAACACGACTGACAAAGTGAAACTATGTATGTCCGAGAAAATTACAATTTCTCATACACGCAAGGGGCAAATGTAAGAGGAGCTGATTTGGGCCTACTAAATTAATTAGGCCCAGTAGTCCAAGGTTGGCGGGCCCGAATTTATCGCAAGTCCAAGATTGGTGGGCCCGGATTTATTGCCATCAAACGGGTTGAATCGCTCTAAGCCTCGGAAGGGTTCGGATTTACGAACTTAGAGACTTACTCGGGCCCGGACTCGAAAGGGTTTTGAGCAAGCCTAGAGATCCGAGGCACTCGGACTCGAAAGGTTCGGATCTACGAACCTAGAGATTCGAAGCACTTGACTTCGAATGGATTCAGAAGCAATCTAGAAGTCGCTCTGTTAATGAGTCCCAGAACACTTGCGGGCTTAGAGCTTTCCGGGATCTACGCACCAGAACCATGGGCGTAATGGAGTTCGAACAAAGGATCCGATCCCGAGAACGGTGAGTGGAGATAAATTCACTCTTCGGTTAAACTAGCCTATACCTAGGTCGAGGTGGCACGATCTAGGGGATCCCTGAGACTCGGCAATATTTGCGGCAGGGCGTTCTCTTGAACTACCCCTGACCCTTATGCGGCAGGACGTCCTCTGGGACTACTCCTGACCCTTTGGGATGATTGGGAATCATTGGTTAGGTATGGCTAAGAAGAAGGGTTCGCCGAGAGATTGATCTCCTCTTCGGGGTTTTCCTTATCCTCGGAGAGATCACCTCCTCGGACAAGGTGGTTAGAGAGAATATTTCTCATGTGCCTTGCACATAAATTCCATCCTACATCATGAGGTATCTATAAATGACACCCACCCATCCCTTTACGAGGGATGGATTTTGGAGAGATAACTCTTGGGAAAGAACTAATTTTCTATTTCCATTATCAACATTGAGAGTAAAAGTAAGAGATCCTTGGGAAAGAACTAATTTTCTATTTCCATTATCAACATTGAGAGTAAAAGTAAGAGATCCATGAGAGAACCTTAACATTATTATCTTTCTAGCTATTTTACCTTCTTTTTCACCCAATCTCTAATCTCCATCATCTCCTTTACTCTTGTGTTCCTAAGTTGAGATCATTGAAGAATTTAAGCCTCTCATTATCTTTTAGAGAATTCGAAGTTGTTCTTCAAAAATCTTTGAAAATCTTTGAATTTTCCGACGACGATCTTGAACCCCTCTCATACACAGACGAACCCAGTTCGCAAAATGAGCCTGCACTGTGGCTCAGGTCGAAGCATTCGCGGGCTTGCTGAGTATGGATTTCATAACGCTATATATTTACTCGAATCGAAATTCGTTGATTTTTTTTAATTCTGAATTTGGGTTTTTTGAATAGTGCACGGAACATGTTCGATGAAATGTCGAGCTGGGATATTATTGTTTATTGTTTGACTTTTTAAGCATAGAGTTTGTGTTCAAAATATTTTCTTCAATATGAGAAATTATGCTCATCAGTGATAGAAAAATTTCAGAAATTTCTTCTTTGAATCGAAGATTTGGTGTTATTTAGAGATTCAGAGGGTTCCTGATTCGTGAAGAACATCGTGAGGGGCATGGAATGACAAAATTCCCGACTTTTCACATGATGGAGGTAAATAGTCACTCCTGATTAGTATTTTATTGTTGGGTAAAAAATATAACCAATCTTACTAATTTAATATAACTACATCGTGCTCGTTTTAATTCATATAACAATTTGACAGCCTTTTCATCTTGGCCGATTCAATCTGCAATACGGATGAACTCTACTATTCATAAAAATAAATAAATAAAGATAGAGAAGAGCCTCTATTGCTTGCAATGAACACTAACATTTGACAGATATGGCTTCAGTTAGATCTGCATGACAACAGATAAGCTGGCTGTCAAATATATTATATTCATGATTGTGTAAGATATAATTTTCTGTTTGGGTCATTTTGGCATTATCAACATCTCCTGTGTGAAACCATCCCAGAGTCTACGACGGCTATCAATATTAAAAAGATTACCTCTTTCCTTTGTGTGAACATAGTTAGATTGTTAAAAAATTCACAAGCAAAATGGATTTTACGGTCCTTTTGGATGGATTGATTTGATGAGAAATGAATTTCTCTTGGCTACTAAAGAGGAGAGAAATGGGAAGAAATGAAGAGAAAAGGATTTCTCTAAAAACCCATTTTTTTGAATCTCTCCAGAAATGGAGGGATTGGGAGAGAAAAGAAGTCAGCTCATTACTAATATTTTATAATACCAATTGCCCATCTAAGAAATAAAAAAGAATGACATCATGTTGAAAAAATATTTTATAATACCAATTGCCCATCTAAGAAATAAAAAAGAATGACATCATGTTGAAAAAGACATAATAAACAAATCATTAGTTGAAGTAACCTGAATGTCATGCTGAAAACAACCTTCTACATAAAACTGACAATCTGAAGTAGAAAAAACTCAAAAGAAAAGATACCAAGTTTTATGTCAAATCAAACACTAGTGACGCCATTGCACAAGGTATTGAATTATATACGAAGTCTACTGGTTGAATTGTCATCAAGTACAAAAATTTATTTTTGAATGATACTCATTGAAATTCTTGTTTTCAGATTCTACCAAAAACATTCTACATGATGGGCATTCTCTTCTTTCCTTGCACTGGTTTCTTCCTTCTCACGGGATTCTTTGTCGGATTATCTTTCATTTTAGTTGTGGTTGGAGTGTTGACTTTCTTTGTGATTGGATTAGCAGCTGTATTTCTAGTCATCTACATCAGAGAATTGATCTCAAATGATAATCGACATCCAGTTGCAGGGCCAATATTCAATCTACTCATACACTTCAACAGACTTTTCAATTACCAAACATCCCTTGCTCGGAAGTACAGTACTTATCGCCTGATCACACCGTTTAAAAGTGACGTATACACTGCTGATCCGGTTAACATTGGATATATACTTAAAACCAAGTTCTCCAATTATGGCAAGGTAACAGAGTTGTAACAGAGTTTTTATAGGCTGTCAAACTTTCTTCAGTATTTGGATTGTTTTATAGTGTTATTTTGGTTAATATCATTACAGGGAAAGTTTAATTCTAATTTGATGAGAGATCTGTCTGGCGATGGGATTTTTGCGGTGGATGGAGAAAAATGGCGCCACCAGCGGAAGCTTGCCAGCTATGAATTCTCAACAAAAGTTTTGAGAGATTTCAGTGCCACTGTGTTTCGAACTAATGCTGCTAAATTAGCTTCAGACGTTTCTATAGCAGCAACTACTAAGCAAATGATAGATTTGCAGGTTTGTAATCAGGCTAGAAGCTAAAGGGCCTGTCCGATTGTATTTTCGTTTTCTCTAATTTTGTTTTCCATCTTTTCTAAAACAAAACTAATGACAAGTTTGAAATACTCATTATTTTTATTTTTGTGCAAAAATAATTTTCAAAAATTGGAACAAGTTTTTGGTTTTCCCAAAAAAGTGGGTTGTTTTCGTAAAACTTTTCTGCAAACAGTTTTTGGAATTAGTTCACCGAATGAGTTTTCTGTATTTCAGGAAAAATGAATACATAAAAGAGAACAAAAACAGAACCAAACAAATAGATTGGGCCATTTGGTTGTCTTTGTTTTTTGTTTTCATTTTTTAGAAAGTGAACTTGTTTGGCATGTTGGTTTTGAAAACTATTTTCAAAAAACAATATCTGGAAACAACACACTTCCAAGGAAACACTAAATGTTTTTGAAAACTGTTTTTGCACAAAAATGAAAATGATGGATGTTTTCGAAACTTTTCATTATCTTTGTTTTGAAAATTTGAAAATGGTAACAAAGAGTACAAAATCAAAATCAAATGGGGCAAATGTTTCTAAACTGCTGTTATTTTCTAAAGAAAATCTAATTTAAGTTATCAAGAATCTCTATGATGACCATTAAATATATGCCTAAACACAGCACACCCTAACATTTTGAACAAAAGAGGGGACCCTTCTGTTGCAGGATTTACTGATGAAGTCTACGACTCCATATTCAAAGTGGGATTTGGAGTTGAGCTTAATACTCTATCTGGTTCAGATGAATTCAGCACCTGATTCATGAAAGCCTTTGATGACTCGAATGTTATTGTCTATTGGCGATATGTTGATCTATTATGGAAGATTAAAAGGTTTCTTAATATTGGCTTGAAAGCAGATCTTAAGCAAAACATCAAAGTCATAGACAATTTTGTATATGAATTGATCCAGCAAAAGAGGGAGCAAATGAAAAATGGAAAGCTTGACATGAGTAAATTTTACTTTTGAGAGTAATTGTATTTTATTGGGTAAATTACACTTTGCACTCTTGCATTTAACACTGAATCTCACTTTAATCTCTCATTTTTCAATTGTACCACTCAACAACTTGAACTGTCAGTCAATTTGCAATGTAGCTCTTACATTAGTCTATTGTTTTTAACATAAATTGTCATGTGATCCTCACATTATGCAATTTTTAAGGCAAAAAGGTAATTTTGTTTCCTCTTTCTTCTTCTTTTTCTCTATTTCTCCACTATAATTATACTCTTAAAAAATGATGGAAGAGTGGCAGGGAAGGGGTTGCCGGTGGTGTTGGGTTTAGAAAATGTAGTAAAGATAAAATAAAGCGACAGAAAGAGAAGAAAAAAAGAAGAAAATTACATTTTTGTCTTAAAAAAGCCTCATGAGAGGCTTGCGTAATAATTTTCGTTAGCAAATTTAACACTGAACTAATGAAAGCGCCACATTGCAACTTGATCAAAAGTGCAAGAGGTTGATTGTTACAATTAAAAAATGAGAAACCAATGTGAGATTCGATTTAAACTGCCGGAGTGCAAAATGTAATTTACTATATTTTATTTTATTCATTCGACTCTGCATGTGGACTAATTGATACTTTTTTCTTCTTCTGCAAGTAGAGAGGGAAAGAAGATATATTATCAAGGTTTCTGATGGAGAGTGCTAAGGATCCAGAGAAAATGACTGATAAATACTTGAGAGATATTTCTCTCAATTTCATTATTGCTGGCAAGGACACATCTGCCAACACACTCACTTGGTTTTTTTACATGCTGTGTAGACATCCTTTTGTTCAGGAGAAGATTGCACAGGAAGTGAGAGAAGCAACTGAGGCTGAGGATAACATCTCTACTGATGAATTTGCCAATAAATTAACTGAAGCAGACCTGGAAAAAATGTGGTATCTTCATGCAGCTCTGACCGAGACTCTCAGACTCTATCCTGCAGTTCCTGTGGTAATTCTGCAATGATATTCTCTCTAGTTACAACATGATTGGGCAAAGAGGTCATAGAAAAATATGCGAAAAGTCTGATTGCACAGCGGAATTTCACAAAATGGTACACGGATGCTAGACTCTTTGTCTCACATCTGTATCCTATTTTGTGAAATTCTTCTGTGCTACAAGCAGCTGGAAAAATAGCAGTGCACTGTAATTCCAGGAATAGTTTCTTTCCTCCTCCGCTCCCCTCCTCTGCAGAGATTGGTCAGCATAGTATGTTATAGAATATAATCATATAGCTGCAAGAAATATATGAAATTTTGTGCTCTTTTTGACGTTAGAAGCCCAACTCTAACTAATCCAACCATATTGACTCATAATATGTAGTCTCTAACATGACATTCTATTTTAAACTCCTATTTTCAGTTTCACTTGTGGATATGGTCTGAAATGTGACAAATTGAATAGTACTTGTGTTTCTCTTTCCTGATATTTCTTTGCTTATTATGGTGGTGGTCATGCAGAAGTTTTTTTTTTTTTTCCCCTTTTTCTTTTTCTGTGTGACACCTAGTAGACCTCTTATCACACTGGAATTCTCTTTGATAAGATCCCACTATTACAATATCCACACCTTTTCATGGATTCAAGCTTAATAAGTGATGGGCATGGTTTTGTAATTCCTGATTTTCATAGAAAGGAAGCTCAGTGTTCATTTTATGCGAAAGTTTTTGGTAGGAGAGAGTTAATTTGGAAACTAGAAATTTTCTTAGTCTTGTTACTGTAAATGCAGGACAGAAAGAATTCGGAAGAAGATGATATTCTACCGGATGGCTTCAAAGTAAAGAAAGGAGATGGTGTAAACTACATGGCGTATGCCATGGGAAGGATGACATACATCTGGGGAGAGGATGCCGCAGATTTTAGACCCGAAAGATGGCTTGATAATGGCATTTTCCGAGTTGAAAGTTCTTTTAAATTCACAGCCTTTCAGGTCAGCCACTATTCTTACCATTCCTCACTTCTTTGACAACATCATGGAAAGTTTATTGATTCTTTGTGCTTTTCTTTGTTATGTCAGGCTGGGCCTCGGATATGCCTGGGAAAGGAGTTTGCTTATGGGCAAATGAAACTTCTGGCCTCTTCTCTGCTCTTCTTCTTCAAATTCAAACTTGTGGATGAAAGCAAGGAAGCTACATATCGAACCATGTTCACCCTTCGCATGGTTAAAGGGCTTCATCTGTATGCATTTTCTTGTCTGTGAATTGAGAAATTTGCAAATGTTTGTAAATTTTAGTTTTAAAAAATAAATAATATTAATACTGTTGGAGACCGTTTGTACTTACTTTACATACAGGAAATTATTGCCATATAATGGGCTTGTTGGGTGCACATTTTCTCAAATTAAAAGTTGATGATTAGAAATAAGAAGAGTTGGAGTACCCATACTCCAGTTTCTAGATAATTATTTTTTTTCTTTCACTTTATTTAACTTATTTATGTTTCGTAAACTATAAGCAGATATTGTATCAAATACTTTGACATAGATTTTCAAAATTAAAAAAAAAAATTATAATCAATTCCAATAAACTGCACCAAACATGTGTGGCCAACATCATCTATAGGCCCCTTTCTATCCACCGACCACATATGAAGCAAAAATATCCTATTCGGGGACCTTGTTCTTATGGATACATATATGGGAAGTCATTTGTTGAAATTATCAGCATAAACTCCTTGTAAGTGATAAATTTAGTTTCTTAATAGAAAGTTTGATTTTTTTTAGGTCATGTTTAGTTCACCGAAGATAGTTATATTAAAATAACTTATTATGGGATAATTTGTCTTGATGGAGTATTTTAATCATTTTACGGTGTGGGGTGGAATTGAAGGAACTTCTATTTGTACGTCACAAGCATTCTTAGTCTACACTCTTTTTTCTTTAAAAAAAAAATAATTGACTATTGAACAAAAAGTCATGATTAATATTCAAGCATAAAAAATGATATGAAGTAAAGAAAAGAGTAATGTGTAACTAGAAGTTCCTTGAAAATAAGTTGTCCTACCCTTCCTCAGATAAAATTTGTAGAATCACTCTGGATGGGAAATCTCTCTCTCTCTCTCTCTCTCTCTCCTTGCATCATTTTCTTCTTCTCCATTAAGGGAGGCCTTGTCATACAACAACTAACATTTTTCATGTGGGCATGTTATTGGCTAGGACACAACTAATCAATAGGACTCTGACTTTTCAAATCCTTATCTATTAGCACTATAGTTGCTTTTCACACAGAAGGATTAAAGTTTAGAGATCCACATTCAAAACATAAGATTTCCCAATATATCATCTATATCTCACATCAATTAAAATAATAAACACACAAAGCACATAAGAATTTGTGTGGTTTAGTTATATGTCTAATGTTCATGGACAAAGAATGACAAAAGAGTGTCACTATAAATGTAAAAATTCCAATGAGCTGGCGTGCGCTCTCTCTCTCTCATACACACACAACTATGTTACAAAAGCTCACAAGATTATCACAGCCCTAAAACTAGGAAATAACTAAATTGGGTCAAAATAGACTCAAATACAATAGTCGGGTCAGAATTACCAAACCCGGACCCCACAGAAAAGGCGAGAAAACATCATCATTTGCCCATTAATCGGGTCATATGGGTTTCAACAAATAATAAGCATAATCACATCATAACAATACAAACCAACAAATGACTCCAATGGATTTTTTACCCAATCCCATCTCACTCATAGTTGCCACTGCAGCTATAATTCTGGTAATATGTTCAACCAAGTTTGTTGCAAGAAAATTGCCGGAGAAGAGAAAGAGAAATCCTCCCATCGCCGGCACGGTGTTTAATCAGCTAGTGAACTTCCACAGGCTCCATGATTACTTTTCTGACCTTGCAACCAAACACAGGACATACAGGTTGCTTGACCTTTTCAGGAGTCAGATTCACACTTCTGACCCTGCAAATGTTGAGTATATCCTCAAGACCAACTTTGCAAACTATGGCAAGGTAATATTGTCTTATTAATTCAGTGCAATTTTGTATGTTTTTCTAATTCATGATTGTGTGATTCTCTGTTTGGTTGCCAAGAAATTGTAAGAAAGAAAAAGAAGACTAAAAGATTCCCTGTTCTCATATCTTATGTTTATTGACAATTTGATGGGGTAAAAGCTTTTTGGGTTCTTGATTTTACTGTACCTATTCAAGTTCTGAGTGCTATAACAACAAACCAAAGCCCTGTTTGGAATTGTTTTTGTTTTTGTTCTTTTTTTCTTTTCATTTTCATGTTTTTTTGGTGGTCTTTGGAAACAAAAACATTGACAAATTTAAAAGCCATTGTGTTCATTTTGTATTAGACCATAAGAACTTTTTGGTGTTTCCTAAAAATAGAGATGGTTTTCATAAAACTTCCCAAAGACAGTTTTAGGAAATAGATTTTCAAACAATTTATTTGTCTTTCGAAAAATGAAAAAGAAAACAGAAAACAGTGTTTTGGTTCTGTTTTCGATTTGTTGATTTTGTTTTTTGTGTTAATGGAAGCAAAACAATGTCATTTTCAAATTGTGTGAAAACAAATTCAAAAGTTCGGAAAAAAAAAAAAAAAAAAAATCCAAAATCTGTTTTAGGAAAACGAAAAACACAATCAAACAAAACATGTATGGCATTGAACCTTGGAGTTTTATATTATCCCCAAGAAAGTATGAGCAAATTAAATGACCTAATTGACCCTCAAGAAACTTTCAACTCTTCTTCTGAGTTCTTGTAAAAAATGGTTATACTTGCAGGGATGGTACCACCACAGTGTCTTGACAGATCTTCTAGGCGATGGAATCTTCACCGTTGATGGAGACAAGTGGCGGCTTCAAAGGAAGCTATCAAGTAATGTCTTCTCCACCAAGATGCTCAGAGAGTTCAGCACTGATGTCTTTAGAAGTAATGCATCAAAACTTGCTCAAATAGTGTCTGAAGCTGCAACCTCTAATCAACGGATCGAGGTTCAAGTAAGACTCCAACTAGGCCTCCTGAGGGATCGGATTTAATCCGAATCCAATATGTTAATGAATATCCGATCCAATTATCTGATGAAATCTAATCTGATCCGATTTGATTTTGATACTTAAATTTTTATATGTATAAATAGAACGATTATATTTAAAAAATAATTAGCAACTACAAAAATAAAAATTATGAGTAGGGTTGCAACATGAACCAAACTACTTAAGCTCGACTTGTGTTCGACTCGTTAAAATCTTATTCAAGATTGACTTATTATGTAAGGAATTTAATTTTGAACACTTTTGAAGCTCGTTAAGTTTTTCAAGCTAAGATTGAACAGTTTTTTACTCAGTTTAATAAGCATATGTGCACTACAAAAAATCAAGCTACTTGAGCTCAATTCGTATTTAGCTTGTTAAAACTCATTTGAAATTGACTCATTATGTAAACAAGTCAAACTTTAACACGTTTTGAAACTCATTAAATTTTCAAGCTAAGCTTGAATAATCTACTATTCAGCTTGACTCGGCTTGCAACCCTTAAGAAAGTTAAATTCGAATAAAAAGATATTAAAATAAATCGAGTCCAGTCTGATGTCCATCTTAAAAATATAAATTTGGGTTTGGATGATCTCTTATCGGATATTCATGATTGGTTTGGATTTGTATTTGGATTTTTTATAATCGGGTCGGATTTGGATTACAGCAGATAAGGTCTGAATTCAATCCGTTGATAGGCCTAACCCCAACAATTCAAGCATGGCTAGGTAGGCCATCCCATTTTACATAACAAAAGACTAATACCTAGAATTCAATTTTCACAGGACTTGTTCATGAAATCATCGTTGGACTCGGTATTTAAGGTCATTCTAGGAGTGGACCTAGACAGCGTGCTTGGAACAAATGAAGAAGGAACTCGATTCGCCATTGCTTTTGACGAAGCGAGTGTAACAACTCTGTATCGATATTTTGACATTTCGTGGAAGATCAAACGGTTTTTGAACATAGGATCAGAAGCAAAATTGTCTGATAATGTCAAATTAATTGACAGGTTCGTATATAAACTAATTAAAACCAAGACAGAGCAAGTCAGCAGGCCACAGGACAATTCTACAGTGAGTTCTATTAATTGATTTTAAATTTTTTTTTTTGGGGACTGAATAGAGTGCAATTATAATTAACATACATTGTGGATACACACATGAATGGCAGATGAAGAATGGAGACATCTTGTCGAGATTTTTGGAATTGAATGAGAGCGATCCAAAATACTTGAAAGACATAATTTTGAGCTTCATAATAGCTGGAAAGGATACAACCGCTAGCACTCTTTCGTGGTTCCTCTACATGATGTGCAAGTACCCAGTCGTACAGTCAAAAATTGCTAGGGAAGTGTGGGAAGCGGCGAAACTTGGAGAGGAATCGAGCTTTGGTGAACTTGTAGCCAGTGTCAATGAAGAGGCACTCGACCAGATGCAGTATCTTCATGCTGTTCTGACCGAGACTTTAAGACTTTATCCTGCAATTCCAGTGGTAAGTTATGTTTGCAAATACAGTAGGAATTTCTGATAGAATAAATACAATAATAATAATAATTAACCAAAGATAACAAAATTAACATAGAAAGTTCAGAATAGCCTATAAAGTGGTCGAGACACACGAAAACTAAGGCCAAGTTTGGCATGATTGAAAAAAGACAAAAAGTCACTATCTTATATAAGTCACATCATCTTATTTAAGTCACATCACCTCTCTAACACATCACTTCAAACCCAACCCATATTTCATAAAAAGTCAAAAAGTACACTTATTTAGTCTTCCCAAACTAGGCCTAAGTTTGCTTCTGTGCAACAGAGCTTAAGTCACAAACTGAGTTGCCCAAAACAAATAAATAATATTTCAGATACAAACTTGCATACATACATTCTTGTAAGTCATTAAAATGATGTGTTATTCATATTTATGGTCGTTTTTTTAAAGTGGGTTCTTTTGGGGGTCTGACACAGGAGGGGAGGCTTTGTTTTTCGGATGATACATTGCCAGATGGATTCTATGTGAGGAAAGGGGATTTGGTGTCATTCCAACCTTATGCGATGGGGAGGTTGAAATGGATATGGGGTGATGATGCAGAGGATTTCCGCCCTGAGAGATGGCTCAATGAAAATGGCGTTTTCCAGCAAGAAAGCCCTTTCAAGTTCACAGCCTTTCTGGTGAGAAGGAAAATCTTGATAATATATATATGTTGTTCAATTTGAGCAAATTTCAAACATGAGAGACAAGCAAAGCATATTTAAACTGACACAAATACTCAAATCAATAAGCTTTCAATATTACATGGGGTTTGGCTACATGGATTTATCTTCTTAAGTTTGCTTGGTGTAAACTCACTTTGGCAATCATGTTCTTTTGTTAAGACTGTTCTAATCAATGATTTAACGTGATATTTGAGAAGGGAAAGGAAAAAAGAACTAAAAAGTGAAAAAATTTAGCTTCTATTCATTGACTTTTCCGTTCTCTTTTTCTTTCTTAGCAAAAATCCCTCAAATTCTTGAATCAAACACAGTTTCAAACTTTGACCCATATTCTATTTGGTGTTCTGGTCTTTTTGGCAGTTTCACTTTGGATCAAGTTATGACTTAAGGGATAATAACTAGTGCATGAGGTGTCCTATTGCAGGGTTTGATACCCTGGTCGAGTTTTACTAGTTACCATTATGTGACATAATTTTCCTTTTCTAAAACTCTTACTGATTATAAAAAAGGGATCAAATTACCCGTCCTTGTCAGCCTACTTGTTCATCTAATGACACCATATCATATAAATTTATTTAATTTAATCTTCAATGAGTGATACTCACATACTGCTTCAAAATAAATTTGTTTCTTATTCTATTATTTATTTTTAATAACACAACTTATCCATCTCAACATCCTAACTTCGGTGACACTCATTTTCTAAACATGTAATTTCTCAATAATTGAACATTTTTCTGTCATAGTTTAGTGTAACTAGCCTTTCAAACAGATACTGAGTATCAAACATTTTTGTTTTTAATACAGAGTCTGAAATGTTGAGTCAGAATGCTTAACTCAAACCATTGTTGTTTTTGTTTTGGTATATATGCAGGCTGGACCAAGAATTTGTCTGGGAAGAGAGTTTGCTTATAGGCAGATGAAGATTTTCTTAGCAGTACTGATTGGAAGCTATGAATTCAAGCTCAGTGATGAACACAAAGCTGTCAATTACAGGATCATGCTCACTCTGCACATTGATGGGGGACTCCACCTTCAAGCCTCCCACAGATTAAGGCACACATAGGCCATGTTTGTTTGGTGTACTAAATTATATATGACTAGTATTTTAGTACTGTTTGGGCTTGTTTGATTAGTAAGATTAATAGTGAGGAGATTAATAATTCATGTGATTAGTGTAGGATTGGTTATTCAGCTAGATTAGCAGAATAAATAATTTCCTCTATTTCACATTTTTTTTTTTGGCAATAGTTATGTAAATATATAATTCCAATTATATTTATGTTTTGCATTATTAGTTGTGCCAATCTTGTTGGATAGAATGTTTATTAAAATCTAATCAGAATAACAAAAGTTGCAATAAAAGTATGAAATGTGAGTCCCATAGCGTAATAACCCCAATCCTATGCTATAATCTGCCCAATAAACATGTCCTTAGTATTGGGGTTATCAATTTCTTTAAATTGTGTATCATGTTTGAATTGACCTAGAATTATGAAGAAAGATTATTAGTTTTGTAATTTAACCAATCAGTTTAGAACTCTCCTTAGTTCAGGATTCAATAGACTCCTATATGGGGGATAGTATGTTTGGGTGGACGATTAGTCTGGACTCCAATTTTTTTAGTTGCACATGGAATTATGTATGTTGTTAATTATTAATCCAATCCCAAGGTTATATCCCCTCAAACAAAAAGTCCTATGAGTAATGCTCTATATAAATAAATTCCTCATCAGATTTTCTTGTCACTAGATATTAAAATATTAGTGTATACATTAATAAATATACATGAGATTCATGTCTTTGTGTTCAACAATAAGAAAATCGAAGTAAAAATCTGTTTATGTATATCATTTTTCAAGTCTTATTTTATGTTGCATATTGTATATGTATAAGAGAATAATTTTTGTGCAGTCCACATATCTGGACAGCACTAGGTAATTTGCTTACTGTGGGTCCACTCCGAACTCATCTTAATAATTCAAACCACATCTTGTAAAGTTTATCGAGTAGATTATTTATACAAAAAATCAAATTAATTGGACATCAGTAAATATACATTCTAATGACATTTTCTTGTGAAAAAATAAACGGCGTGCATTATTTTCAAAATTGACCATTTATTTTTGGAAGTAAAGAGTAGCACAAAAATAAAATAATAGTAGTTTCAGAATATCGACTCAACACGCTATTACGATGATTCCCAAACCAGTAAGGAGCCCTTTGCTCTCCCTTAGGAGACAAGCATTGGACAGTGAAGTTGAGCTATTCGCCAACGCCATGTTAATAGTTTTGATGATTCATTTTAATAATTTTTTAAGTTATACGTGTAGATTATTTATAAAAGTATTAAATTGATCTAATAATTATAGTCATATTATTTTATTACATTTGTCTTTAAAGAAATGAACAGTATACTTTTAAAATCATATTGTCGTTTATTATTTGAAAAACAAACATGATTAAATATGTGATAATGATTATCCAATGGATCCAAAAAATTTTGTATTTCGTTTTATGGATAATTCACACACAAGTGACAAAAAATTGATAAGAATGAATGATCAAAATTGACAACATGGCACCAAAAAATAGCTCGATTGCATTGTCCCATACTTCTCTTTCCAACCAAATCAATAGTTATGAGATGAGTGGAGCTGATTTAGTTCCACCTTAATGAGTTAAACCGGAAACAAAATCGGTTCCAACAATAAAGCATGTGCACATAGAATAATTTGTCCAAGACGTGTGAGATTACTTTAATCATAGTGAAACCTAAAAACAAAATGTAAGATAACAATATCTTTTTTATTTTTTTATTTTTTATGGTGGAACTACACGTATTGATGCCACTTTGATTGTGATATTGGTTAAGGATATATTATTGAGGAATGACTAGATGAATAATTATTATTTGGAAGTAACACTGCCTCACTTACCAAAAAAAAAAAATCTAAAAAAAAAAACATAATAAAACAAAAAAACAAAATACTCTCCGCCATCCGATTTTTATTTATTTTTATTTTTATTTTCGCTTGATAACAAAAGTGAAGCTATTTTCTTCCTCTTTATGGACTGTCGTTTGTAAAAAAAATTTATCCTGTTTTCATCACATCCATAATCGTAAAATATAATGAGAATCTCAAAATCCGATTGTGCGTTTGAAATTATATAAAGATTTTTTGAACTATTAGCGAATATAATTTTACTTTTCTTATCTATGTACCTGTACATACTAATCCTCATAATTATAAAAATTGTACATTTACCCTCCTTTTTAAGATAGTCTGGAAGAGGCGAAATGATATATTTTTATCAGCAATGCTAAGTATCATGAAAAATCTTTCATAAAAATAATCATGAAAGCTTTGTGACCTTTGGATTACACTTAGAATAAAGCACCACACACTAATTAAGGTAATCCAAAGATCATAAATTTTTCATGATCATTTTCATGAAATTTTTTTTATGATCCCTAATTTTTCTCTATTTTTATAGATAAATAAATCAATATATATAAGTTCATAGATGAGGAAAGTAAATTAATATTTGCAAATTGTTAAGGGTCATGGTGTAATTAACCCTATTTATAGCAAGGTAATAACTTCCTTGTCATATTTTCATTGACCATAGTGCCTAATTTGAATTAATTTGTAAGGAAAATATTGATTTAATTTGAATTAATGATCCAAAAGATTCAGCCAATCTAGGTAAAATATTTAATTTTACTTTGAAATTTGGTCAAATCTCGGGAAAAAAAAGAAAAAAAAGAAAAAAAAAAAGCTATGAACATACAAAATGCTATGAATAATTTCTCCAAAAATAATTAACTAAGAATAAATGCTTGCAATTTAATGAGGCTGTATTAATGGGGTTTTCTATATATAAAAAATAATATTATGTGTACCCATTAATAGTTAAGGGTCATGGTGTAATTAACCCTATTTATAGCAAGGTAATAACTTTCTTGTCATATTTTCATTGACCATAGTGCCTAATTTGAATTAATTTGTAAGGAAAATATTGATTTAATTTGAATTAATGATCCAAAAGATTCAGCCAATCTAGGTAAAATATTTAATTTTACTTTGAAGTTTGGTCAAATCTCGGGAAAAAAAAAGAAAAAAGAAGAAAAAAAAAGCTATGAACATACAAAATGCTATGAATAATTTCTCCAAAAATAATTAACTAAGAATAAATGCTTGCAATTTAATGAGGCTGTATTAATGGGGTTTTCTATATATAAAAAATAATACTTTGAAGTTTGGTCAAATCTCGGGAAAAAAAAAAAGAAAAAAGAAAAAAAAAAGCTATGAACATACAAAATGCTATGAATAATTTCTCCAAAAATAATTAACTAAGAATAAATGCTTGCAATTTAATGAGGCTGTATTAATGGGGTTTTCTATATATAAAGAATAATATTATATGTACCAATTAGTATTTTAGTTAGTGTACTAACAGATAATATGGTATGATTTTAGAAGTTTTGGACATTTGTAATTTATATAATGGGTGTGGTCAGTAATAATATCATAACATATGCTGGTATATTAAGTCGTTTATCAATTGATATACGTAATGAGTAATGCTAGAAACTCCAAATATTCTACCAAAAAATTTATCAAATATCTCACATGAGTGTGGAACCCACACAATGTGGGTCGCATGTGGGTCCCACACCCATGTGAGACATTTGGTAAAATTTTTAGTAGAATTTTTGAGACCTTTAGTATTTTTGATATGTAACACCACCGATATATAAATGTTGTATTAAATACACTGTATTTAATTTGGATATGTCAAAAGTAGTAACCACTTAACAAAAAATGCTATCTAGCGTTATTAGGACATTATTTAATATTGAGATTAAATTGAAATGTGCTTTGAAAATAATTGAAAAAGAGTAAAAATATTTTGAAATTAATGAAAAATATTTTATATTTTTCTTAATATTTTTTTAACTTCAAGAGCACTTATTAACAAGATCATAATAATAAAATAAAAAACAGAAAAAAGAAAAGAGAACAACACAAACACTTTTCATATATTTCAAATTCTTTTTTAACATCTCTACCTATTTCAAAAATTTTCACGCCATTCCCAATAATACTAAAAGAGATCTTATGAACACTCGTTAACATTTGTATAAAAATTAGTTTTTTTTTTTATTTTTTGATTTGAACTTGACAGTGTAAGTTTACCAAATTAACATAAATACTCATTTTTATAAAATTTCCAAGAAAAAGTAAAAATTTTCTATTGCATTATTCATCAAAAAATGAAATAGAAACTTTCAACTACAAGTATCCAACCCCTTACACCTCTTTATGCCTTGCTTAAATGAAGACTTGAATTTTATTAACTTTAAAGCTTTAGTGCTTTCTTGTGGCACAACTTTGGGACTTTAGCACATAAATAAGACAATATAGCACAAACAATGGGCATGTCCAAAAGCTAAATGGAAAAGTGAGGCACTTAATGGACCAATATTTTGAAGTTACTGCTCTTTTGGATGCCAAAAGGGATCAAAGTGGAGGCCAATGGAAGAAATTAAAGGCACCCCTCGTGATTTGGTGATTTTGATTGTCACACTGGAGGCGTATACTACTCCCTTTTCAAATCTATGAAGTTTCTTATAACCTACAACGGTCCCCCTCGCAATCAAATTCCCGTCGATGTAAATTTCGTGTTGTTTGATTCGTTGACCCAGTCCGATTGCCTCTTGAATTCTGACCACATTGAATATCAACTTTTCATCTGTTGCCCTAAATTCAACCCAATAATCTTTTTCTTGATCACTGGGAGCCCAATAGGTCCATAAATGGTCACTATCTAAAACATTTTCGGGCCCAAAACCACCGTCCTTACCTCCTCTTTGGCTACTTGCTTTTGTAGAACATTTCTCAGCCAAATTTGTTGAAAAAATGGTGTCAATTGCACTTCTAAACTCTTTCAATCGTTGCACATCGTTCTCAGATAATAGACCGGTCGTATTAGGCGGCACATTGAGTAGTAGCAAGCAGTTTCGTCCGACCGAGTTGTAATAGATCTCTAGCAATTGGCTCAGTTTCTTTGGTTCTTGTGATTTATGCCAGAACCACCCAGTTCGGATCGAAACATCGCACTCTGCCGGTAGCCAATCGGTTCCTTTCGGATCACCAGTATTGAGATAACTGCACATTATTATTAACAAATATATTTTAGGTAATGTACCAACTTGATGCATACGTTAGAGCATCTCCAATGGTAGTAGGCATTTTACCTATTTAAATATTACTATAAAGTATATATTTTATTTTGCCTATCGACTGTTTTATGTTTTTACTCCAACCATACTCTTTATTTTAGCTATTAATCCAAATACTATTAATTTTATAGAATGCCACGTCAACAACAAAGATGGAGGGAAATGATCCTAATGATTGAAGGTTCTTGTGATTTATGCCAGAACCACCCAGTTCGGATCGAAACATCGCACTCTGCCGGTAGCCAATCGGTTCCTTTCGGATCACCAGTGTTGAGATAACTGCACATTATTATTAACAAATATATTTTAGGTAATGTACCAACTTGATGCATACCTTATGCTAAATGAATTGAAAAAAAAAATGCTGACAAGTTAGTGGGCCTTATGTTGCCTGGGACCCACTAATCGCAATCCTTTATTTTTTAAGGAAAAATTATCATTTAGGAAGAGTTTTTAAAAATTATTACACATTAATAAAAAAAATTTACTGTTAAATATTAATATTTATAATATTCATAACTTTTTTTCGTATATATTTTTCTCACAACCACTAATTTATAATTCCCCAGCATTCAATATCCTAAGACCTATTTTTAAACTTGAAAAAATAGTGCACCTTTTAGCCAAATATTTTTGGATAAATTATAAATACATATTCTGAGATTTGCTTAAAATACGAATTGCTTCATATAGGTTGAAAAATTACAAATACCTCTCTGTCAGATTTTTTATTTAACAAAATTAATTGAAAAAATAAAATTTCTAACTGCTCACCTATACAATAATAAAATTATCTGAATTATTAATTGAAATAAAATTTTAACATGTTAGGTAGCTCTTTCATTTTCAATTTTCAGTTTTTATTCATAAAAATTTAGAAAACTATCATAGAAACTTGTTTGATAATTTTTTTTGATTTATAAATGGTTATCTCAGTTTGTAAATTTGAAGAAAAAACGTAAACTCAAAAAAATTAAGAATTTTACGTTAGTTTTTAAACAAAAATTTAAAAATTTGACTAACAATTGTTTTTTTCAATTAGTTTTTTTTTTCAGTTAATTTTTTTTTTCAAATAAATTTTTTGTCAATTAATTTTTTTTCTCAATTAGTTTTTTTAAATATTTTTTTTCAATTATAATATGTATGATCCCATTCTCATAAATAATAAAATAAATAAATATAAATATTTTAGCTCTGAACAAATATATTTTTTAATTTATGTTTTTAAAATTTTTCAAACATTTTGTTTAAATCAAACGTGTTTGTAGTTTATGTTTTTCTAAAAATAAACAAAAATCAATTTATAAAATTTTTGTAAACATAAACAAAAAACGTAAACATTACCAAACGCTACCTAATTAACTTGATAATTTGTTAATAAAATGACCTACTTGTTATGAAATTAGAAATTTTAAGAGGTATAATGTAATTTTTAAAACTATAAGAAGTAATTTGTAATTTAAATAAATCTCAGAAGGTGTGTTTATAATTTATCCAATCTTCTTTTTTTTTTTTTTTTTTTACACCCACCAAAAAATTGCTTTTGAGTTTTGGCAGTTGAGAAGCATGAAGTTGCTGAGGATGATCATTAAAAATTAAAATATACAGAGGTGAACAGTTTTTTGGAAATTTTTATAAAATAATAAATTACTTAAAAAATTAAAAAAAATTATTGTGAAGCATAAAATAAAAAAAATAAAAAAGTGCTTTTGAAATTTTCAAAATTTATTTTTACTTACTTAACAATGCTTGCATTTCCGATTGAGAGTGAGGTACGGTTAATAGTGGACCAGCATGTCTTCCCAGCAAACCCTTTTTCATCTCCGACCCATCTCACGTCCGGTCCGGCATCGGAAAAAATGTTGATTGTGCTCTGCAATTCCTTCACCATTCCGAACCAATCACTAAAATAATAGGTCATGTTTGTCGCATTCGCTCCCTTTGCTCCGTCGAACCATATCTCTCTAACACTTCCATAACTATTAACCAAACAAAAAAACTATGCAAAAAAAAAAAAAAAATCTCATAACAAGATCATTAATTCCAAATCCTTATTATAGTTATTTAAATTGTTTGGTATGCATTATTTTAGCACATTATTTTATTTGAATCATAATTATCTTATTTAAATCATATTACTCAACACATTTTATATTTTTTCATAAAAATTTAATGCTTTCCAAACAATTCCTAATTCTGTTTTACAGTTGGATTTTTGTCATTCTAACACTGACACAACCCAGTGGACTGTTCGAATGAAATGACGTGTGCTGGTCAGTTTTCGGTAGGTATTGGGTAGTTTTCCATTTATATCGGTTTTTATCTAATTCATGATCATGAGCCAATATGACTGATTCCCGAATCTCAATACAATCGATTGTAAAATTTTCTTATACTGTTGATGATTTTAAAAAATTTATGAGACATACAGACATGTGATTAATAATTCATATGATATAAAAATAAATTAACATACCACTTTATTTATTTTTTTATGTATTTTTTTCATAAAAAATTAAAATAATTTATTCCAAAAGCTTAATTTGAAATCATGTACTTACTTGTTGAGTAGCTCTTGTAATTGGGCCAAATAATACTCATTGTACTCCACATTATTGCCATACCTCCGGTCATGCCGATCCCACGGTGACAGATACAAGCCAATATCGACGCCGCGAGATTTTGCGGCGTCCACTAGAGCTTGAACAACGTCGCCATGACCGTCTTTCCACGGACTTCCAATGACAGAATGGTCAGTGTACTTGGAAGGCCACAAGCAAAAACCATCATGGTGTTTTGCAGTGAGAATCATGAGAGAGATTCCGGCTTGGACCGCGGTGTCGACCCATTGATCGGCGTTGAGCCCGGTCGGGTTGAAAATGTCCGGGTTTTCTTGCCCGGTTCCCCATTCGGAGTTGGTGAAGGTATTGACTCCGAAGTGGAGGAACATGATGATCTCTCTTTGTTGCCATTTGAGTTGGGAATAGGATGGGAGAGGAAGGATTGGCAATGGTGGTGTTGTTAGCCATGAAAATGTGAATTGGAATAGTGATGATAATAGTACTGTCACACACAACAAAGAATGAGGAAGCTTCATCATAATGGTCTCTCTTTTTCTCTCTCTCTCTCTCTCCTCTTTCTAGCTTTCCTCTTTCTTGCTCAGCTTATAAAGGAAAGGTGGACATGGGTTTACAACAAGACAAAGACTAGCTTAGCCATAATGGTCCTTTCTGTCTCTCCTCTCTCTTTGGTAGGCTAATAAGATTTCGTTTGGGATTTGAGTTAGTTTTTTAATTTTTTAATTATTTTAATTTAGGATTAAAAAGTTTTATTTAGAATAATTTTTTTGACTTTTTTAATTTTAATGAGAAGAAAAATAAAATAATTATGATTTAGATGTGATATTTTATTTTATTAAATTAAAAAGTTTATTTTATCTTTTTGTAATTATTTTAGTCCAAAAATCTAAAAATCTCGTACGCTAAACAAAGGCTAAAATAGAGGAGATGGGTTCATACTAAGGGCATCTCCAACGGTGCATTATTTTTTTTTACTAAATTTGAGTAAAAACTCTCTTTGATATCGCCTGTTCCAACGAAGGGATTTGACTTTTCATCAAATCACCGATTGACCGGGTGGTCGATCGACCAATGTAAATTTTTCACCAATTGAGAGGTCATCCAGGGGGTCAACCGCCCAGTGTAAAATTTTTACAAAATTTTGCTTTGAGGTGGTCATCCGGGAGGACATCCAGGGGACATTCGATGGTGAAAATACAACGGTAATAAATAGTGATTTAATGAAAGGCATAAAGAATCCTCAGTTTGGTGAAATATTTTTGATATTCTCAATTTGATTTCTGTTTGATGAAACTATTGAAGTATAAAAAAAAATATTTTTTCATTAAATTTAAATTTGGTGTAGCGTTGAAAATGGCTTAAGATCAGTAACATTACATTCTTAGAACTTTTATTTAAAAATATTAAAATATAGTCGGGATTCATTTTATATACGGTAGAATTCAAGTCTTATTTTGCAAATGTGGCTTTTCTTTATTTTTTATTGGGGGAATTACATCCCAATGAGACAATTTTTTTTTATTATTATTTTTTTTACAAACATAGCGGGGCAACATTTCACTTGCATCCTATCAAAAAAATCACTTCATGCTTTGGTAATCTTTTTCTGTCCCGTTGTATTGTAGTTTTCCTTCCTTATTACCTTTTCTTGGGAAAAAATAAAAATAAAAAAATGCCCTTATTAGAAATATGAAAAGATTATTTTTAAACTTTCAAAAAAATATTTTTACAGAAAAATAAAAGGGCTGGGTTCCTTCTAGTCTACTGGAGTGTGTTGTCTAGTTTGTAGGGTCACAGGGCTTATCATGCGGTTCCGTTTCGATAATCTTAACTGTTTATTTTATAAAATTCTTTGTACATATTATTCACACACAAAATTAGGTTAGTTCGATAGTCATGGTACGTTCAATTTATCACGTTTCTCACAAATAATAATAATAATAATATAAAATAGACGGTCTATTTTAAAAAAAAAAATCATCTTATATATATATATATATATAAATAAATGTAATAAATTGAATAGGTAACGATTATTAAATCGACTTAATTTTTGTGTGTACATGATATACACTTAAGACTACAAAACGAACGGTTTAAATTATCGAAATGAAACCATGGTGAGCTTAAACAACACTCTCCAATCCAAGATCAGGACTAAAGGGAAGCCAAACCCAAAATAAAAAGATAAAATTACAATTAAGTTAGGTTTAAAAAAATAATTATAAATAAGTAATAAATTTTACAGATATTACTAATTAAAATAATAAAATTTTTCATGAATTTTTAATAACTTTTTTCTGTTACCACTTAAGGGCAGTTTCTGAAATAAAAATGATGGGAGCTTTTAAATATTTTATTCTTTGTTTTAAAAAACAAACAATAGCCGACTTAATTATTATATCACTTAGCCTGTCTTCTGAGTCTCATTAAGAATATTTTCAAAAATTCTTATCTTTGAAATTCTCAATTTTTCTAAAAATCTAAACATGATAAAATCTCATTTTATTATCGTCAACTTTAAGCAACTACTAAAATACAAAATGAAAACACAAGTATTAATTTAGCAGGGATTGGATGAGAGAGAAATGTGGGGGACTAATTTAGAAGACAGGTGGAATGAAGGATAGAATTAAAAAAAGTGGTGGAAGATTCTTTGGATGGAGTTGAGCCAAACAGAGGAAAAGGGGTGCTGAGAAATCTGTGTTGGAATTTTGTTTGATTCCTTTTTGTAGATTTATGTGAAGTGTAGTTGTAATTATTGTCACGGTCTTGTGAATTACAATCATTCACGGGTTTGGTTTGGTTTTACCTTTCCTTTCACTCTCATCACAATCAGCTCAGCTGTAAGAATGAACAACAATAAAGTGGACAGGTTTGGCTTTCCCTTTCCAAAGATTTTAAAATGGAAAATGTTTGAGACTTTAATTATTCTTTTGTAATTTTATTTTTAATAATGTAAAATAATAAGTGTTAATTTTTTATTTGCCATATAAAAGTTGTACTTTCTTATCACATTATTATAAATGTATTTAAAAATCTAAAATGTAAAGATTTTTCTTTTAAAAGTATTCTGTTGGTCCATTTTAATATCTTTTATTTATTGATTGATATATTCTGTTCATCAATGGAGTTTCATTACTTTAGTAACCTTTTATCTTGTTCATGAATAGAGTTTCATTACTTTGGTAACATTTTATCTTGTTCATGAATGGAGAGTAATTAGAATTCATGAACTTGGTGGTGAGTTAGTTTTTGGAGTTGCTCCATTTTCTCCAGTTTAATGATCATCTTTATTTTTGGTGTAACTTGTACAGTCCTAGTAACCTATAAATAGTCCCTCTCATCTACTCTTTTCTATACCAACACACACCAACTATTTTCTATACAAGAAAGATTGCTAGCAAAGAAGGGTGTTTTTCTTGGTGGAGCTTTGGGTTCACCATCTTGTGCAAAGTTGGCCTGAACCATATGACAAGTGATCGGACTGTTGTATCCTGGAGGGGACAAGTCATAGTTTTGTGATTGCTGCATCGGTATTTGGGTTCTTCCTATCGCAGCGAGCTTGATCTCTTTAAAGAAAACGAGATATCCGTGCCTCAGCCTAATCTATTTGTATCTCATTTTCTTTGCATCACTTATCAATAAAATATAATTTTTTTTGGTATTTTCACTAACAATTTTAAGGAGATCAAACATGGAACAAGTGCCAAAAAAAATCAATGATGGAATTGGAGATCTCAACAAGCCTTTTAAGTTCAAGAGAATTCATTTTAAGAGGTAGAAAGGAAAAGTTCTTTTTTACCTCAGCCTTTTGAAAGTTGCATATGTTCTTACCGAGAAGAACCCAAACAAAATCTCAACCGAGGAGATGAATGATGAAGACTATGAGGCACATGAAGAAAAAGTGGCTTCCTACAATACAGATGAGTATAAATGTCGCTTTTATCTCTTAAATTGCCTTGCTGATTAATTTTATAATTATTACTGTGACACCACTTACATTTTGTCTTCTATTAGTTTTTGGTATGCTTGCTTGTGTTATATTAATAGTAAATATGTGGGAATCATGAGTAGTTTAGGATTAATTCCTAAAGTGACAAAAAAATTTGAGAAATGTGAAGTTTGCAGTAAAGCAAAAATTACCAAGAGGCCTCATAAAGTGTTGAAAAAAATACCGAATTGCTAAAATTATTTCATACTGATTTGTGTGAATTTGAAGGAATTTTAACTCGAGGCAGTAATCGATATTTTATCACTTTTATTGATGATTTTTCAAAATACACAAACGTATATTTATTAAAAAAATAAAAGTTATGCTTTTGAGAAATTTAAAGAATTCCTTCTTGAAGTAGAAAATCAATACAGTAAAAAAATTAAAAGAATTAGAAGTAATAGAGGCCGGGAGTATGAATCTCTAGGATTCAACTCTTTTGTTCAGTCATTGTGAATTATTCATGAGGCTACTCCACCATATTCACCTTCATCTAATGGCGTAGCTGAAAGAAAAAATAGAACGTTAATTGACTTAACGAATGCTATACTTATTGATTTAGGTGCTCCATCAAATCTTTAGGGCGAGGCTAGCTTGTCATGTGATAAATAGAGTGCCATACAAAAAGACTAAAATTGTACCTTATGAGTTATGGCGGGGGCATAAACCAAATCTAGGTTATTTGAGAGTTTGGGGTTGTTTAGCTTTTGTGAGGCTTGCAGATCCTAAACGACCTAAATTGGGTGAACGAGCTACCACCTGTGCTTTTCTTGGGTATGCATTGCATAGTACAGCTTATAGATTTTGTGATATGGAAAATAATATTATTTTTGAATCAGGTGATGCTATTTTTCATGAAAATAAATTTCTTTTCAAATCTAGAAATAGTGGGGGTCAAATAATTTCTGAAATTATCTTATCCATGCCTAGCTCTTCTACTCCTTCTCAAGTTTTTCAAGAACAAAAAAATTCTCAAATCCAACCAAGGAGAAATAAACGAGCTAGAGTTGAAAAAGATTTTGGCCCTGACTATTATCTTTACAATGTAGAAGAAATTCCTCTTACGATGCAAGAAGCTTTATTATCACCTGATGCTATTTTCTGGAGTGAGGTTGTAAATGATGAGATAGATTCACTACTTTCAAACAAAACATGGAAGCTAGTGGATTTACTTCCAGGTTGTAAAACTATTGGGTGTAAATGGGTCCTTCGTAAAAAACTTAAACCGGATGAAACTATAGATAAATATAAAACGAGGCTTGTCGCTAAAGGTCTTAAGCAACAAGTTGATCTTGATGTCTTTGATACTTTTTCTCCGGTTACTAGAGTTACATCCATTAGACTGTTGATTACAGTGGCTGCAATTCATGATTTAAAAATTCATCAAATGGATGTAGAAACAACATTTTTAAATGGAGATCTAGATGAGGAAATTTACAAGGACCAACCCCAAAGGCTTTGTGGAGCCTGGCCAAGAAAGCAAGGTATGTAAGCTAACTAAATTCCTTTATGATTTAAAACAAGCTTCTAAACAGTGGCATGAGAAATTTGATTTTTGCATGCTTAAGAATGGCTATAAGACGAA